GCTCGCTGACCCGCTTCATGAAGGCGCCGACTACGTCGTAGCTGACGTCGGCCTCCAGCAGGGCCTTCTCGACGAGCTTCAGCCCCTCCCGCATGTTCGACTCGGTCAGCTTCCCCTGACCGCGGAGCGTCTTGAACGCGGCGCCGAGGTTTTCTTGGAGGGCGTCGAACATGTGTCCTGGGAAGGGTTTGTGGCGATCGGAGCAGGTCGTAACAACGGATCGGGCGAACCCGATAGTCTACGGCCCGCGCCGCTGGGGGGGCAACCAGTGGGCATTTCACGCCGAGAAGCGAGAAGAAGTGGGTTAACCCTTCGGCTTCCCGCGGTATTTAGGGAAGCAAGTTCTCACTCGCTCCCCGCAACTCCCGAGCCTCCATGCGCCTCCACGCCCCATCTGTGATCGCCGCGGCAGCAATAAACCTCCTCGCCGTCGGCGCCTCGATTTCGATTGCCGCCGACTTCGAGATCACCGTCAACGCCGCCGAGACGCCGCACCTCAAGGAGTGGGCCGAGGAGTCGAAAGAACTGCTGCTGAAGTGGAAGCCGCGGCTGGTGAACCTGCTGTCGTCACCGGGGTTCGAGGCGCCCACCTCGGCGGAGATCGTCATGCGGAAGACCGATGAAGGCGTCGCCGGCACCGCCAACGGCAAGATCTACGTCTCGTCGCACTGGATCGAGAAGCACCCCGAGGACATCGGCCTGATGGTCCACGAGTTGGTCCACGTGATCCAGGATTACCCGAACGGGGCCGAGTTCTGGATTTGCGAGGGGATTGCCGACTACATCCGCTGGGCCATTTATGAAGGGAAGGAGCAGGACTGGTTCCAGCGGCCCAAGGAAGAAGGCGGCTACAAGCAGGGCTACCGCGTGGCCGGCGGCTTCCTGCTGTGGATCGAGTCGAACGACGGCCCGGGAATCGTCAACAAGCTCAACCGCGCTCTCCGCGAAGGTGAGTATAAGCCCGAGCTATTCGAGGAAGCGACCGGCAAGACGCTCGACGAGCTGTGGGACGCCTACACGGCCGCGGGCTGATCCGGATCGGGCTTGAGCCGCGTCCGTTTGCCACATGGACGCCGACCTACGGCGCGAGAGGATAGGGGCTGACGGGCCGCATGCCGTCGGCTCGTCCTACCTCGCCCGGGAGGCTCGAGCCATGAAGCGCACGAACGTCAACGCGGTGGTCGATGCCCTTGCAGCCGTCGAAGCGATGGTGCTGCTCTCGACGGGGCTGCTGATCTGGTGGCGTTTGCCGCCCGGCACAGGCCATTCAGCAACCGTGTGGTCACTCGACCGTCATCAATGGGGCGAGCTCCACGCCTGGGTCGCGATGGCGATGGTCACGACCCTGCTTGTGCATCTCGCGCTGCACTGGAAGTGGATTGTGTGCGTCCTCTCCGGGCAAGACGCGACGACAAAGCGACGCCGTCAGTTGGCCGGACTCGTCACGCTTGGCGCGGTGTTGTTCGCCGCAGCGTCGCCGTTCATCGCGCCCATCGAGGTCCGGCAGCAGGCGGCCCGGGGACACGGGCCGCAGGCCGAGTCGGCGCCATCTGTTGATCACGAGGCGGGGGGCTTTTCACTCAATGGGCGGATGACCGTCGGCGAGGCGGCCGAGGTTCTCGGCAAGAGTTTTGCCGATTTAGAGGCTCAGATTGGGCTGCCTGGCGGCGTTAGTGAAGAGGAGCGGCTCGGCCCCCTCGCCCGGGAGTTGGGAATCTCGATGGCGGAGCTGCGCGAGCGGCTAGCCCAGTAGGGCCCCTTGAAGGTCAACGAACGCCCCCCCGGCGCGGGGAGCGGGGTTAAACTACTGGATCGGGTCGGCTCCCGTTTCGGCGGCGTCGAGGACCGTAATCCGTTACGAGCCATGACCTTCCGCGCTCTAATCCCGAATTGCGCAACGGATCTGGAGTTTTTTCTGAAAAACTCCGCTCCGATTCGGGATTAAGTTAGAGGCTCCGCGCTGCCATCTAAAGATACAACTCTGCCGGCTCTCGAGCCGCTTCTCTGCTAACTCTCCTTCGATCGACCGCATGTTTAAGCAAGCTCTCGCTGTTGCTCTGTGTCTCTTCCCCGCCGCCGCTTCGCTGGCCGATGAGCCGCGGCGTGAACCGATGACGACCACCTGGGGCGACAAGGTCACTGCCGACAACGTCTGGCAGGAGTACCCCCGCCCGCAGCTCGAGCGGAGCGACTGGACCAACCTCAACGGCAAGTGGTCCTACGCCGTGACGCCGAGCGAGTCGGTCACGACGCCAGAAGAGTGGGACGGCGAGATCCTGGTGCCGTTCTGCCTCGAGTCGCACCTCGGCGGCGTGAAGCGTGAGCTGCAAGCCGACGAGGCCTTATGGTACCGCCGCACATTCAACGCCAAGAAGAAGGAAGGAAAGCGGACGCTGCTCAACTTCGAAGCCGTCGATTACGCCTGCGAGGTGTGGGTCAACGGCGAGTCGGTCGGCACGCACCGCGGCGGCAACACGCCCTTCTGGTTCGACGTGACCGATGCTTTGAAGTACGGCGAGAACGAATTGACGGTCCGCGTCATGGACGCCACCGAGGACTGGCAGCTCCGTGGCAAGCAGGTCCGCAACCCTAACGGCATCTGGTACATGCGCGTCTCGGGCATCTGGCAGACGGTGTGGCTCGAAGAAGTCGGCGAGGCATGGATCAGCGACCTCGACATCACGACCGACGCCGCGAAGGGCACAATCACGATCAAAGCCGATATCGAAGGTGATGGCAAGCACGCGCTGGCTGTCCGAGCATTGGACGGCGACAACGTCGTAGTTATTGAAAGCTCCGACGAAGGCCCTGTCACCCTAACGATTCCCGACGCGAAGCTCTGGTCGCCATCAAGCCCCCATCTATATGACTTGCAGGTCTATCTTTTCGAAGACGGTAATAAATCCCACATCGACAAGGTGAAGTCGTATGCCGGCATCCGCTCCGTCGGCACGACGAAGGACAAGGACGGCAACCTGCTGCTCACGCTCAACGGCGAGCCGATCTTCCACTGGGGGCCGCTCGACCAGGGTTGGTGGCCGGACGGTTTGCTGACGCCCCCTTCGGACGAGGCGATGCTCTCCGACGTGGAGTACCTCCGCGACGCGGGCTTCAACATGATCCGCAAGCACATCAAGGTCGAGCCGCGCCGCTACTACTACCACTGCGACCGCCTCGGCATGATGCTCTGGCAGGACCAAGTGAGCGGCGGCCCGAGCCCCAAGTGGACCCGCCTCGCGCCGGACCCCGAGGACGCCGACTGGCCCGACGCTCGCCACGAACAGTGGATGCTCGAACTCGAGCGGATGATCGACGAGCTCGACAGCCACCCGTCGATCGTCGTCTGGGTGCCGTTCAACGAAGCCTGGGGCCAGCACCGCACCGTCGAGGTCGGCGAGTGGCTCGTGAAGCGCGACCCGTCGCGGATCGTCAACGTCGCCAGCGGCGGCAACTTCTGGCCCGCCGGTCACATCGTTGACCACCACGCCTACCCGCACCCCGACTTCCCGTTCAACCGCGGCAAAGAGGGCCGCTTCGACGGCTTCGTGAAGGTCGTCGGCGAGTTCGGCGGCCACGGCTTCCCCGTCGAGGGCCACCTCTGGCGCCCGGGCAGCCACAACTGGGGCTACGGCGGTCTGCCTAAGGACGAGGCCGAGTACCTCGACCGTTACCGCGAGTCGCTCCGCAAGCTAGGCGAACTCCGCAGCAAGGGCATCGCCGCGGGCGTTTACACGCAAACGACCGACGTCGAAGGCGAGATCAACGGCCTGCTGACGTACGACCGCCGCGTCACCAAGATCCCGGCGAAGGAACTGGCGGAGATCGCCGAAGAGTCGCTCTTCAGCGAAGAGAAAGA